AGCCCCTATCCTCGGGTCCGAGTTTGTAGAGAGAGGAGTTAAGAGTGACTTAGCCAAAATAACGAGAGTACCTTGAACGTCGCGCAGCGTGCCATGCAGACCGTCGAATTCGCAGATGAGAATTTGCTATAACGAAGCTCACTTTAAGAGCTTTAAAATAAGCCAAGTTGCCTCGCGAAAAGTTCTGCCATTACGAAGTTATAGCTCGGACAGCGTTTGCCTAGCGTTTGAGTGCTAGCATACTAGCGTTGACTCGGGTAGCATTCCGCCGTCGAATAGCGCAGAAACGAAACTCCAGCGAGGAAGGAATTCGCTTGAATCAATTGACTATATTCAGGTACAAACAGAGAAGGGATATATAGTTCTAGCTAGCAAGGACCTTGGGAATCAACCTGGGAAGAACCAGGGATGATCCCAAATAATTCCAAGCAACAGAACCAACCTGGCTGGACAAAATAGCAGGTGGTAGGCTGGTAAACAACCTCTGGTTCTGTTTTTCCAACTTGGGAAAACAACAACCAGGTTCAGGTTCTAAAAACAGAACCTGTTTTGTCTTTGCCCAACCAGCCAAATGCTGGTTCCGCTGGTTTCCCCTGGCCCTGTAGCATGCAGATACAGACAAACAACATCCAACTTTCACCTAAATTGTACCCCTATAGTGCCTGTCCTGCTACACTTTATTCAACCAAGCAAAACAGTACAGTTTCGAGTTGGATAGAACTGAATCTGCGCAATCAATTTAACCGAACCGGACAGCTTTCATCTTGGGTTCCTTTGCGAGCTCGTCCTTTCTGCTTGCACTGTTCATAGCGCGTACAATGTCGTGCCGAAGCGCACATTGCGCGAGTACCTGCAAATGCATCAAGCAAAAATTGCGAAAGCAAACAAACACACGAACATTCCATTCACACCCAAATACATTCGCACACGCATACTTGTACAAACAGACGGCAGGATGTCGTGCAATATGAATTTGCACCCAACACACTCCCCCTCAGCCTGCCGGCTGCTTCCCCATCATTCCATGCTAGTTCATGCTCATTCCACTCATGCGCACACAACGCCAATGAGGCTCATCCGCAAGCCTCTTTGTGAGAAAGTCTGCTGGCTGCTGGTGAGTCTTGATGTAGATCGGATTCACCGTCCCCCTCTTCACCTCCTTACGCAGCCAGTGCCACTTGATACGCATGTGCTTGTTCAACCCATGAAGCACAGCGTTCCTGGCCATCCCAAGAGCCTCCTTGCTATCACAAAACAGCGGCGTAGCATCATTCTGCTTCAAGCCAATCTCCTCTAACAGCCTCCCCAGCCTTCAGCACCTCCACACCCTTTCTGCTTCACCTGTGCCGATGCGGAGTATTGAACTCCAATGGTTGGGTGAGAGTTTAGGTACTTCACCACACGCTCAGCTGCATCCACCCTAGCCAGCTGCCCAACCGAGAAAGAGATGTCGGGCCTCGTGTGAACCGCTGCATACAAGAGGCTGCCCACCAAGGACTGAAATTGCTGCTGCTCCTCGGCTTCAACCCCTTCATCTTCTGCAGCCTTCACAAGCTTGAATTCTGCTGGCAGGGGAGTTGCAACCTTGCGCTCATTCTCAATCCCATACTTCTCCCCCAGCTCCTTGATGAACTTCTCCTGGTGCAGCTTCAACCACCTGTGATCAGGATCCCTCTCCACGTGCATCCCAAGGTAGTACTTTACCTCCCCAAAGTTCTTGCACTTGAAGTTTTCCATCAGCTGCTGCTGCACTTTTTGGATCTCCTTCATGCTGCTGCTGAAGAGAAGAATGTCGTCCACATAGACCAAAAACAGCACCAGCTTCTCCCCCTCGCCCTTGAGAAAGAGGCTTTCATCACAGCTGCTGGTCCTGAATCCCATCTCCTCTAAAACAGCAGCCAACTTCTGGTACCAGCAGCATAGTGCCTGCTTCAAGCCGTAGATGGACTTGTTGAGCTTGCACACCCTGCCCGTACCATCCTCATACCCAGGCGGCTGTGTCATGTACACATCCTCCTCTAAAATCCCGTTGAGGAATGCCGTTGATATATCCATCTGAATGATGAATTTTCCACTAACGGCTGCATCTGCCAACAAGACACGGAGGGTAGGGGGTTTGGCAGTGGGAGCAAAGATCTCGTTGAAGTCCTGCTTCTCCTTCTGCATAAACCCCTTCGCCACCAGCCTACTCTTGTAGATGGTGACCTGCCCCTTGTCATCAGTCTTGATCCTCAGCACCCACTTGCATTGTATCGCTTTCTTCCCATCAGGCAGCACCACCAGATCCCATGTCCCATTCAGCTCTTAGTTTTCCCCTGTTGTTGCTCTCCTTCCTCGGATCCAGCAGCTCCACTAGTGCTGCCGCCAGTTTCCACACCATTTTCTCCACCAGCAGATGCCTCCTGTATCTTCTCTCCATCACCATTCCCCGCAGCTGCCTCCTCTCCCTCCTCCCACACACTAGGAGTCAGGTCCAGCTGCATGGTGATCTGCTCCATCTGCTGGGACACCCGGGCCTCCGGCTGTTTCTCCCAGCTCCCATACATCATGCTCTCAATGAATTTCACATCCCTGCTGTCAAACAATACACCCTTGGATGGTTCCCACAGCAGCCATCCCTTGCTCTCAGCAGCCAGCCCCAAATGCACACACCAGATTGCACTCGCCCCCAACTTACTGCGGTAGGTCTTGGGAACGTGGGCGACTGCCATGCAACCGAACACCCTCAGCATGTCCACCGGCGGCTTCCTCCCAAGCCACCTCTCCAAAGGCACCCACGAGTCATCCCCAACCTTGATGAGCACCCTGTTCCTAGCGACGGTAGCGTGCCGGACAGCATGAGGCCACATCGAATTGCTCAGCCCAGATTCTATGAGCAGCGCCCTAGCTGTCTCCAGAATGGTCCGGTTCGCCCGTTCTGCTACACCGTTGGACTGTGGGGTGTAAGCCGTGGTCAGCTCCCTCTGGATGCCCTGCTTCTTGAGCCAGGCCGTCATTTCAGCTCCAAGGAACTCACCACCCCGGTCTGTCCTAATCCGCTTCACTACACACTCCGCCTGCTTCTCCATGAACAGCAGCCAATCGTCCCGTATCGTGGAGGCGGCGTGGTCCTTCTGCTTCAGCGGATACGCCCACATTAGCCTGCTCCAGTCATCCACAATTGTAAGAAAATACTGCTCCCCCTTGTGCCCTTGCACCGGCAGCGGCCCCACCAAGTCCATGTGGACCAGCTCCAAAGGCTTCTTGCTCCTGCCAGCCACACTATGGAAAGGGAAACGGGTGAACTTTGAAAGCAAACAGATTTCACAGTTGTCATCGGGTGGCTGTCCGTTCAGCTTCAAACCCTTGACGGCTCCATCCTTCTCCAGCTGCTTCAATAAGGGCATTGCCACATGCCCCAAGTGTCGGTGTGCCGTTGCCCAATCAATCTCCCCAGATCTGGCGGACACTTTCACACCAACCCCTCCAACGGCGTTGCACTCCCCCTGGGATGCAGACCCCTCTCCAGCCTGCCCCCCACCGTGCCACGCCAACGCCGGCAGCTGCCACATGGATCTGTACACGTCCTTGCTCTCGTGCAGACCCTAAAGCACCCGATTGCCCAGCTGCCCCTTGTACGTGCGAGCCCCATCCGTGCTAGTGCTCACCCCAGCCTTGGCAAGCTTACGGAGGGAGATGAGGTTGGCCTTGAGGTCGGGGACGAGGAGAACGTCGTGCAGCACCACCGGCTTGCCATCCGCTCCCTTAAATGCAGCTCGTCCCGCACCAGCCACCTTCAGCGCGTGTCCAGAGGCGGAGCACACCTCGTTAATCGGTGCAGCGCGTACGTCGTCCAGCAGATACTTCCGCAGCGTCATCGTCCAAGCAGCGCCCGTGTCCAACACCCAATAGTCCAGGGGGTGCAGCTCTGCTCCAACCTTGGCAGAGGCGTCTCCTTGCTCCCCCTGCTCTCCCATATGGAAGAACTGGCCCGCGGTGCGCTCCTTCTTCTTCTCTTCGGGTTATTGTCGAAGTGACAGAACATGAACAGAAATAAGTTATTTATTCAAAATGCTTCGCAACCCTAAGACGATTTCGTCGCCTCTTGTTTTTGTTTGGTTGTGAAATCCGCTTCTTGTCAAAATCTATCTTCGCCTTTGCCTGGTGGGACGCGCGCCGTTTTGGCGGCGATTCTGCTTTCTGACTCGCCCTTCGCTTTGGGCAGGCAAGTGTTGCTTCTCCAACTTTGCAGCGTCGTTCCTCGGAAACCTCAGCTAAGCGCTTGCTGACGCGTGTGGATCGACAACCGTTTTGGGTGAGGTCCCGAAAGTCCATCAGCAGATATCAACCGTCGATGAAACTCGTGACCACATCCCATCGACGATCTGTGGACCCCGATTGTTGTCATGATCGCAGCGTCATCTCATTGCCACGCTGGCAAGCGGAATCAGGCTGAGGTTAGTTTCACGGTCGATTCCGGCGGCTTACGATTTCTGCACAAGGCGGGAATGTTGTAGGCGGAGCGGCGAATGAGGGAGGTGAGATTCCTGATTCCTGCCAGCTCCGCCGATGCGGATCGAAAAGGTTGCGGTTGAGGTTTCTCCGTGCTGCCAGCACCACCACCCACTCTCTCACCAACCACCCTCGCCTTCACCTTCATGGCACTGCAGCACTAGTCACGACTCGCAACACAACTCGCAACTCACACCACACCAGCAGCTGTACCAACAGCCACAGCTCAAGCACGCACTCGTGGTCGTCCCCCACTCGTTCCTCTCTTCGCTCTTGTCAGTCCAAGTACCCGCTCTTGCCTGCCATTCAGCACTGCGTCAGCATTGTCAAATCTACACAACCAGTCGATTCATTCGAGTCGGTGTGTTCTGGAAGATGAAAATGATGTGACACTAGAGTATTCAGCCAATCAGAGCTCGCTTCTGCTCTTGCACATATACCCTGTAGGCACTTGTTACGTTCGTCTAGCTCGCATCGCGTTTAGCTCGTCACCATCCCCCACAGCCGCCATGATCGTCACGCAGCCGGTGGACGTGCCGGGCCCAGCGCGGCGGCAAGTTGGCGTCGCGCGCGGGGCTGCCGTGAGCTACGCGTCCGCGCTGCTGCACCGCTCGTCCTGCGACACCGGTGTAGCTGCCGCGCCAAAAGCCGCCGAACCACACCCACCCTCGCATCTCGACGCGCTTAGGCCGCAGCCTCAGAAGAAGCCCGAACGGCATATGCCGACGCAGCAGCAGCAGCCGCCTCAGGCGTTACTGCAGTGGCCCGCGCTGGGCCGACAGTCGCAGGAGCCGTCACAAGCCCAGCCAGGAGCGCAAGGGGCAGTACAGGCTGTGCGACAGGCAAACCCGCAGGAAGGGTCGCAGGCAATAGGCCCGCAACCAGTTCAGAAACAGCAAGGGAAGGCGTGGGGGCGCAGCGCTCCCAGGCCGGATTCGCAGGAGAAAGGGTTGGAACCGCAGCCGCAGCCGCAGCTGCATCAGCAGAAACAGCAACAGCCGCCGCAGCCACAGTCGCAGCAGTCTCAGCCAAAGCCTGAACACGAGGCACAGCCATCGCAGCGAGGCGGCGAGCAGGCGACCGACCACGAGTTCGACTTCGACGACGTGTTCGGCCCGTCGCCCGCCTCCTCCAGGCGGCTGTCGTCGTCCACCAGCCTCGACTCGTCGCACGACGCGTCGTCTGGTCGCCTGGCGACGGCGAGCGGTCGCAATCTGCGCACGGTGGCGGAGATGGACGAGGACGATGTGGCGAGCTGGATGGCCGACGAGCAGCTCGCGGATCGCGCGGCGGGCGAGGAGCCGCCGGAGGTGATTACGCACCGCTCGCACTCGCTCGTGGGGCCCGCAGCTATCACGCCGCGGCAGAGCGTCGCGCGGTCCAGCAGCCGCCGCTCGTCGCTGGACGAACCCGACAGCGCGCGACCGTCGCTGATGGGAACGTCGCCGTGCGTGCGATCGATGGAGTCGCCGAGGAAGGCCGTCGCACGTGCGATGCTAAATGCTGGGATGGCGGCGGATGAGAGAGAGGAGGCTGCGACAGCAGCGGCCGTGTCAGGGGCAGGATCAGAGGGCGGTAGGGACAGTGATGCGAGTGGCGCGATAGAGGCGAGGAGGGTGGGGCCGGAAGACTTCGAGCTGCTGCGAGTGGTGGGCCAGGGCGCCTTCGGCAAGGTCTTCCAGGTGCGGCGCACACTGGCGCCGTGACGCGCGTTTGCCCCTCTGCCCCCGCTCCCACCCTCTTCCTCCACGTGCGTCCTTTTCCCTGAGTAGTTTGCCACGCAGTAAGACGACTATCGCGTCGCATTCTTCACACGACCTTTCATAACCCTCCCGTAAACCCTCCCGTGGACGGACGCGTGCAGGTGCAGCACCGATGGACGGGCGAGATATTCGCGATGAAGGTGATGAAGAAGCAGCGCATCCTGGAGCGCAACCAGGGCGACTACATGCAGGCGGAGCGCGACATCCTCACCAAGGTGGTGCACCCCTTCGTCGTGCAGCTGCAGTACTCCTTCCAGGTATGCCCCGCCTCGCCTCGCCTCGCCTCGCCTCGCCTCGCCTCGCCTCGCCCTCCCCTTCCAGGTCCGTCCTCCCGCTTCACATGCCGCGAGTGGCGCATCCATTCAACCCCGCGCCCGGCGGCGCCACCTCACTCATCTCGCTCGCCAAAGCCGTCGTATACCCCAAACCCCGAACCCGTCATAACTTGTTGTGTGATACGGCCTGGCGTTGCCAGTGTGCATGACTCCCCTTCCCCCGCTCCCATGTCCCGATCCCCTTCCCCCTCCGTGTGCTCCCCCCACTTCCCCTCCGCCGTGCAGACGAGCGCGAAGCTGTATCTGATCCTCGACTTCATCAACGGCGGCCACCTCTTCTTCCAGCTCTACCGCCACGGCACCTTCAGGTAGCGCCACGGCACCTTCAGGTAGCGCCACGGCACCTTCAGGTAGCGTCACGGCACCTTCAGGTACCATGCTGTCACGGCACCCCCAGTTACCATGCTGCCACGGCACCTTCACCTGGTCAGCCCATGACCGGCCGCTTGGACACCCCATGAAATCTCAGCCATAGCGGATTTCACGAGCGACATGCACGTACCGCTCCTCTTCCCCGCTCCCCTTTTACACGCGCCTTTCCCACGCGTCCCCACACTCCCCCTCCCCCCTTCCCTTCCCCCACGCGCCATGCGTGGCAGTGAGGACTTGGCGCGCATCTACACGGCGGAGCTGGTGCTGGCGGTGGGGCACCTGCACTCGCGGGGCATCATGCACCGCGACCTCAAGCCCGAGAACATCCTGCTCGACTCCGACGGCCATGTCAGTCCCACTGCTCAAGCAGGCACCCAGGGGGCAGGGAAGGGACGAGGGAGCGTGTTTTCCCTGTGTTCTCCTGGTGCTGCTGCCTCACCTCCTCTCCGCTTTCTTTTCCACCGCCTCCCAACATGTGCTGCTGAGCCTCCCAACATGAGCTGCTGAGCCTCCCAACATGTGCTGCTGAGCCTCCCAACATGTGCTGCTGAGCCTCCCAACATGTGCTGCTGAGCCTCCCAACATGTGCTGCTGAGCCTCCCAACATGTGCTGCTGAGCCTCCCAACATGTGCTGCTGAGCCTCCCAACATGTGCTGCTGAGCCTCCCAACATGTGCTGCTGAGCCTCCCAACATGTGCTGCTGAGCCTCCCAACATGTGCTGCTGAGCCTCCCAACATGTGCTGCTGAGCCTCCCAACATGTGCTGCTGAGCCTCCCAACATGTGCTGCTGAGCCTCCCAACATGTGCTGCTGAGCCTCCCAACATGTGCTGCTGAGCCTCCCAACATGTGCTGCTGAGCCTCCCAACATGTGCTGCTGAGCCTCCCAACATGTGCTGCTGAGCCTCCCAACATGTGCTGCTGAGCCTCCCAACATGTGCTGCTGAGCCTCCCAACATGTGCTGCTGAGCCTCCCAACATGTGCTGCTGAGCCTCCCAACATGTGCTGCTGAGCCTCCCAACATGTGCTGCTGAGCCTCCCAACATGTGCTGCTGAGCCTCCCAACATGTGCTGCTGAGCCTCCCAACATGTGCTGCTGAGCCTCCCAACATGTGCTGCTGAGCCTCCCAACATGTGCTGCTGAGCCTCCCAACATGTGCTGCTGAGCCTCCCAACATGTGCTGCTGAGCCTCCCAACATGTGCTGCTGAGCCTCCCAACATGTGCTGCTGAGCCTCCCAACATGTGCTGCTGAGCCTCCCAACATGTGCTGCTGAGCCTCCCAACATGTGCTGCTGAGCCTCCCAACATGTGCTGCTGAGCCTCCCAACATGTGCTGCTGAGCCTCCCAACATGTGCTGCTGAGCCTCCCAACATGTGCTGCTGAGCCTCCCAACATGTGCTGCTGAGCCTCCCAACATGTGCTGCTGAGCCTCCCAACATGTGCTGCTGAGCCTCCCAACATGTGCTGCTGAGCCTCCCAACATGTGCTGCTGAGCCTCCCAACATGTGCTGCTGAGCCTCCCAACATGTGCTGCTGAGCCTCCCAACATGTGCTGCTGAGCCTCCCAACATGTGCTGCTGAGCCTCCCAACATGTGCTGCTGAGCCTCCCAACATGTGCTGCTGAGCCTCCCAACATGTGCTGCTGAGCCTCCCAACATGTGCTGCTGAGCCTCCCAACATGTGCTGCTGAGCCTCCCAACATGTGCTGCTGAGCCTCCCAACATGTGCTGCTGAGCCTTTTTCTTGATCCGCCCCTCTCCCTGCCATGCCTCCCCTCGCCTCTTCCCTCCCCTGCCCTTGTTGCTCTGGCGGGCAGATCAAGCTGACGGACTTTGGGCTGGCGAAGGAGGTGAGGGAGAGCGATGCGCGCAGCAACTCGCTGTGCGGCACGATGGAGTACATGGCGCCCGAGATCATCCAGGCGCACGGCCATGGCTTCCCCGCCGACTGGTGGAGCATCGGCGTGCTGCTCTTCGAGATGCTCACCGGGCAGGTGAGGTGCTGGAGGGACGGGTTGTATGAGTGGGTGTGCATGGCCATGCCGCATGGCATGTGTCATGGCAACCCCACACCCTTCATGCCTGCACCCCCCTTTGCCAGGCCCCACTCTCTGTCACGCCGCTGGTTCTCTGCATGCCACTCGCTGTTCACCCTTGTCCCTTCTCCACTCCTCCTCGCCATGCTCACCACACTCTTCTTGCCTTTCCCATTGCTCTCCCCGTGTGCCCGCCCCTCGTGTTCTCCTCCTCTGGTTAATCAACCTCTCCTGCGCCTCTATGCGTTGGCCCTCTCGCCCCCCTTCACCCCGCAGCCACCGTTTTCAGGCGGCAACAGGCAGAAGCTGCAGCAGCGCATCGTGAAGGAGAAGGTGAAGCTGCCGCAGTACCTCACCAGCGACGCGCACTCGCTGCTCCGCGGGGTGAGAAAGTTTTCCGTGCCCTGTTGCTCTGAGATGAGAGGCAAGGAGAAGTGGGAGAGAGGTGAGGTTGGGATGAGAGAAGGTTGGGATGAAAGGGTCAGTGCTGAGAGGGAGGGATAGAGGTTCAAATCGAGAGGGGAGGTGTGAGAAGCTGAGTGCAAGGTGGTGGTAGGCTGGGTAGCAAGGCTCATTGCACTGCTCCTCGCATTTGCACAAACATTTTTCACTGACACGGTGTCGACTGCATTGCCTTGTGCACTTGAGTGTGTTGTCAGTAACTAACCCCTGCGAATTATTTCAATTCCCTGCCATCTCACCCCGTCCTCCCTGCCCCTACCAGTTGCTGCAGAAGGACCCGGCGAAGCGGCTGGGCAGCGGGCCGCGGGGGGTGGAGGAGATCCGCGGGCACAAGTGGTTCCGCGGGGTGCACTGGCGGCGCCTCGAGGCGCTCGAGGTCGTGCCGCTCTTCCGCCCCACGGTGACGGGCGGCAAGCGGTGCACCGCCAACTTTGACGAGATGTGGACGCAGATGCCCGTGCACGACTCGCCCGCCGGCACACCCACGATGCACGGCGCCGACGCCTTCTTCCGCAACTACACCTTCACCGCCGCCCCGCCCGCCCTCTCCACCGTTGACAGCGACAGCGACGGCGAGGTGGGCAGCGGCGAGTCGGAGGAGAGCGAGGGAGAGGAGGGAGATGGAAGCGAGGGGGAGGAGCAAGTGGTGGAGGGGTAGTGACCGCATGGAAGTGCGGATGCGAGGAACATGCATTAAGGGCGCATGTCTTTCGAAATTTATATGCAAAACTCGAGTTTTGAGTTGAACTACACACAGTTGAACCTCGGTCGACCTAGGCTCGACATTATTGGCAGCTGTAACCCGAGTCGCTGCTCCTCAACTCACAGGAATCACAGGACACACGAAAGTTCGACTATCGAAGTGAATTTTACCGAGTCGCGGCCAACCTATGTGGGTTACCCGATTTGCCACGTGTTTGTTGCCGATGCCAGAACATTGATTTCCGACGTCGCTCGTGTGCGCGATGTGTGCTGCGACTGTCGTTGAATTCGCAGCTACCTTGTGTATTGCCCAAAGGACACACGAGTGAATTTTTGTTCAAGCATGGTTTGAGCTGAAACATCAACCCAGTTTAGTGTTATTTCATCTACAATGTTGCACTAGGACACACGACACACAAGCGAAATAGCTGGCGAGATTTGCAAACAGGGTTACCATTAAATGTTCAACCAAAATTTCCAACCTCTACAGCAAAAGATGTCAGAACATTCTTAAGCCTAAGAGCGTGTTCCTACGGCCTCTAGTCAGGTTACCCCTATATCAGACTTGGTCCTTCGAGGGATTTCGTTATAAACACTATTTTCCAAACTTGAAACAAACCAGATCTGCGCGCCCTATGAATTGGGCGTGCGAAACATTTCGCGTGTGCTGTCCAGGCGAACCCAGGTCAGGCGAAACGAAACACGTGTGAACGACCCCGATTAGTCAGGTGTGAAGCATACGAAAGAATTTCAGCCACCAGATGCACGTCACAATCGCCTCTGATGTGTCAGGACTCACGATTGTTGTCAAAATGATAATTTTTGAAAGTGTAATGAAATGTAACACTTTCTAAAATTTTGTATTGTGAAAAGGGGTACGTGGCCAGCACAGCAAAGGTAGCGCCGAAGCGCTACTCGCCCTCTTTTGCCTACAAAAGAGGGACGTGGGGACATTCGTCCCCACCCACGTTTTCATTTCTCAGTTTGTAGTTCTAATTTCTCGTTCTCGTCACTCTGGCGAAGACACAATCCCTCCCGCGCTTCACAGCCCCGACAACAACTCCCGCCGGGGCAACCGATCGTCGCGGAAAACGGAGTGCAAAAGAAATTTCTGCCGAGGGACCCTCGGCTATCGACCTCCTGCTCGGAGGCACCCTTCACGCTGCGTCAGAAGACACACGCGCGGCTGCTGTGCAGCCGCGTGTGACTGCTGAAGAGCGCGTGCCCAGCAGGCAGGCAAACGTGCTGCAGAAGACGACGGCGGCCGCGTCACCGCGGCTGACGCGTCAACTCGGGCCCACGACGCAGAAGCGCCAGCGCGCGGCACCCTCGGCTAACGTCGCGCAAGTCAACGCCCTCCCCCCTCTAACTGCGCAGCAGTTGCAGGCGATTTTCTCGATATTGCAGCAGCAGTCGCCTGGTACAATTGCTACATCGACCGACTACAATTCTGCGTCCGTAAAAACGAAAAAGCAGAAAGAAGCCGTCGCGACCCCTCGCACCACCAAGGTCGCTCGCGCCACCGCCGCCGCTGCACCCGCCCCGGCTCCTGAACTAGTTCAAGCTCCCGCAATTGACGACAGCGACAACTCTGACAATGACGACGGTGAGGCCCCCGACAACCTTGCTCGTCGTCGCATTCTCGCACCCGCACCTCCCCTTCCTATCAAACATATATGCTGCATATTGTCTAGGCTGTAGTGGGGTAGCCCATATGGGGTACAACCAAATTAGGGTTTCCTACTTGTACTCCTGCATGCTGTTAGTTCACCCTTCCAGCTGCTAGATTCTAACATGGTTTCAGAGCACTAAGGTCCGTAGGACCGTTTTTTTTTCGGGCCCACCTACCGCTGCGGTTACCGCGCTACCCCACGTACCTGCCTGCCTTGCCTTGCCTTGTGACGTGCTGCACTACGCGAGCCGTCCAGCAGCAGCCCTAACGCTGCCTCCTGCTGCCCTAGGCCAGCGCGCTGCCCCTAGAGGCCCGTAAGGCCCGCGCGCCGCCCCTACACGCCTTTCCGGCCCGCACAGCCCGCACCGAGCCGCGCGCAGCCCGCTGCTGCCGCGCGCTGCCCGCACCGAGCCCGCGCAGCCCGCACCGAGCCGCGCGCAGCCCGCTGCAGCCACGCGCAGCCCGCACCGAGCCGCGCGCAGCCCGCTGCAGCCGCGCGCAGCCCGCACCGAGCCGCGCGCAGCCCGCTGCTGCCGCGCGCAGCCCGCGCCGAGCCCACGCAGCCCGCGTCGAGCCGCGCGCGGCCTGCTACGGCCTCGCGAGGCCCGCGCGCGGCCCGCAGCAGCCCGCGCCGAGCCGCGCGCGGCCTGCTACTGCCTCGCGCGGCCCGCAGCAGCCCGCGCCGAGCCGCGCGCGGCCCGCTACTGCCTAGCGCGGCCGCGCGCGGCCTGCAGCAGCCCAGCGCGCTGTCAGCGCAGCCCGCGCCGAGCCGCGCGCGTCCCTCTGCCTCGGCCCCGCCATGCAGCTGCCACGGCCCCGACCTGCCGCTGATGCGGCCCCGCCCTGCAGCTGCCACGGCCCCGACCTGCCGCTGACGCGGCCCCACCTACAACTGCCGCTGAAGCGGCCCCGCCCTGCAGCTGCTTCGGCCCTACTCTGCACCCGGTGTTGCGGCCCCGACGTCGCCGCTGTCGTGCGCCTACTCGGCCGCCGCCCGTCGAGCGCCGACCCTGCTCGCCCGGCGAGCGCCTGCTCTTCCAGCCTTTGGTGAGCGCCTGCCTGCCTGCCTGCCGGCCTGCTTGCCTGCCTGCCGGCCTGCCTGCCTGCCTGCCGGCCTGCCTGTCTGTCTGCCTGCCTGCCTGCCTGCCTGCCTGCCTGCCGGCCTGCCTGTCTGCCTGCCTGCCTGCCGGCCTGCCTGCCTGCCTGCCTGCCTGCCTGCCTGCCTGCCTGCCGGCCTGTCTGTCTGTCTGCCTGCCGGCCTGCCTGCCTGTCTGCCTGCCTGCCTGCCTGCCTGCCGCGCTACTGCTACTGCTACTGCTACTGGCAGGTGGCCAGATGCAGCTCCAGCGACGTTCACGTGAGTCTCTCACGCCCCAGCAGCTTAGTGAGTGGTATACTAGCTGGGGTTGTCGCGGTAGCCGTCGTAGCTGTCCCCCTGGAGCTGGTCAGTTGGGAGCGTCTGGCAGTGGCCAGCTGCAGCTGCAGCGGCGTCCACGCGAGACACTTACGTCCCGGCAGCTCCACGAGTGGTACGCTCAGTGTAGCAGGTCTACGCGTACAGTTCGCTGCCAGTACGTCATTCGCACAGGTGATCGGGTTGGTCAGCCTTGCGGGACGCTTGGTCACACACAGTCCCGCTGCTTCGCCCGTCTGAGCGACGACTGGCGTACAGTGTTTGGCGACGAGGCTGAGCTCCCCGACTGGCTGGAGCTGCTTGGACAGAGGGTAGATATCTTTGCTCCTGACTATGATGCTATTCTCACTGCCATGTATGCATTGCCTACTAGTGTTGACCGTGCCTGTTACCTGTGCGTCCCGCCTGACCCTGGTATAGCACCTGCTGCTCCCGGTACTGGTGAGGCTGCTGCCCTAGGTGCTCGTGCGTCTCCTCCTCTGGGTGCTGGTGAGGCTGCTGCTCTAGGTGCCGGTACGTCTCCTGCTCCAGGTGCTGGTGAGTCTGCTCTCTCTGGTTCTGCGCCTGCTGCGGCCTTGTACACCTTCACGCTTGACTCAGGTGCTTCCTGCTCCTTCTTTCGCGACTGCACCACACTCACGCCGCTTAGTCGGCCGGTTCCAGTCTCCCTGGCGGACCCCTCCGGGGGTCCAGTCCTTGCCCACTACTCCACGGTTCTGCCGTGTCCGGCCGCCCCGTCTGGCTTGCTGTCAGGTCTTTACCTCCCCTCGTTCTCTACGAACTTGGTGAGTGGAGCTGACCTCCAGGATAGGGGGGTGCACCAGTTCACTCCTGCGAGTCAGCGAGTGACTCACTGTACGTGTGCTCGGACGGGCCGACACCTGGCCACGTTTTCCCGTGCGCCTGGCTCGAGTCTGTACACCCTGACCACTGAGTCCCCTCAGGTAGCTGCGTCTGCGTCTGCGTCAGGTCAGCCGACGGCCCCCTGCGAGTGTCGCGCTTTGTCGCACCAGACCCTCCTGTGGCACCACCACCTTGGTCACCCCTCGGTGCAGCGCCTTCGTAGCATGCACTCTCGGTTCCTGGTTTCTGGTCTGCCCAGGTCTTTGCCTGCCCTGCCTCCCTCGCTTGCGCCGCCCTGCATTCCTTGCGTCGAGGGGCGGCAGCACGCCGCTCCTCACTCCTCCTCGTTCCCTCCCACAGAGGCTCCCCTGCAGACTCTCCACCTGGACGTGTGGGGCCCAGCCCGCGTCCGTGGACAGGGCCACGAGCGGTACTTCCTGCTGGTTGTTGACGACTACACGCGTTACACCACGGTCTTTCCCCTGCGCAGCAAGGGGGAGGTCCCTGCTGTTTTGATCCCTTGGATCTGCGCTGTTCGTCTCCAGCTCCGCGAGCGGTTCGGGACGGAGTTTCCCGTCCTGCGTCTGCACTCTGACAGAGGTGGTGAGTTCTCCTCAGACCTCTTGGCAGCCTTCTGTGCGGAGCACGGCATCACCCAGTCATTCACGCTTCCGGCCTCTCCGCAGCAGAATGGGGTTGCTGAGCGCCGTATTGGCTTAGTCATGGAGGTCGCTCGTACCTCCATGATCCATGCGGCTGCCCCCCATTTTCTGTGGTCGTTTGCGGTCCGGTACGCCGCGCATCAGCTCAACCTCTGGCCCCGTGTCTCCTTGCCGGAGACCTCGCCCACACTGCTGTGGACGGGGAAGGTTGGCGATGCGTCGCGTTTCCGGGTCTGGGGTGCTCGTGCCTTTGTCCGCGATACCACCGCGGACAAGCTCTCCGCCCGCGCTGTTCCCTGTGTCTTCCTTGGCTTTGTCCCTGACGCGCCTGGTTGGCAGTTTTACCACCCCACCTCGCGCCGTGT